ATATATATCGTACATTTTTATAAACACTTATCTTTGATTCCCAACACAGCAGCAGTAAGGACACGGCGCGCGGCTTATTCCCGCTGCCGGCGCCTTCCTTAAACCGCCTGTAAAACCCGTAAATCTTTGACATTGACCGCGAGTCCCCCTTACTGCTGCTGACGATGATCCGGTACTGGAATTTCGCATTTCTGAGAGCCTCAATTTCAAAATTTTTTTGTGGGGCGAAGCCTTTCTGCCGGAACCTCAGATTATTTCCCTCTCTTTCCTCCCCCCCCCCCCCCCCCCCCCCCCTCCTCAAACTAAAGTCCGCGGTTACAGATGGTCTACGCGATTCAGCCCCACTCCACTTACGTCATCTTTTGAAGGCTCTTCTTCAGTTGAAGCTTTGATAGAATATGTGATAAAACAAAGGATCGAGCCAATCCACAAAAGCATCGAGAAACCTCCAAATAAGAGTCTGCAAAATTTAACCCATTCTGGAACCGTACGGGGTGGAGTTAAGCAGTTTGGGCCATCACGCTCTAATCGCCTCTCAGCTTCTGCTTGTGTGAGCCCCTACGTAAATATAATGCAAATTATATTGTTTTGCGAGGAAGCTGGATGTGAGAGAGAAGAAATAACGTACAACAAAATCTCAAGAAACTCATCGTGACTGTATGACCGTGCATATAAACTAGATCACTAGATAGGTAATAGGTACTGCTTACCGTTACGGCCGAAGTTTCCAATCTTGCCATTGCTTCTTCTAAGGCTATAGTGTGCCATTCCTATACAGTTCAAATCCAAAAATAGAAAATAACCCCTCACATGATATCAAGGACGTAGCCAGTGGGTAAGGGGGCCAGTCCCCCCTTCGTGACAACAAAATGGAGGCTTTTTAGATTTCAAACGGTAATTTAAATTTAATTTTGTAAAAAAGAAAACCTAAAATAGAATACCTGTTTTTATACTCTTATATTTTTGTGAAAATATAACGTAAAACTCATAACACCTTTTTTGGTTCCACGTTTTGGGGCGGATTTGTTAAAAGAGCAAGAATGGTAGAAAGAAAAGTTTAGTAAAACATTCATATAAATGATTTCTCACCATTTCCAGTTCCTGTTTAAGATCATCCAAGTCCTTATTTTTGCTTTTTCCTTCTTTCATCTTTGTTGGTTGTTTTCCTTTGATAGTCGCTTCTGTCTGCCATTTCTCTGCAGGTCCTGATGAAGTAGCTCTATTTGCCTCTGTTTCAACGTTTTCCGTAGCCTCTCCATCTGCTTCACTTTCGGCATTTTCTTTCACTTCAATATTTTCGAGAGCTATCTCTGTTGTTTCTGCCATTTTTTCTTTCGGTTAATACTAAAAAAGGCATCAGTGCTAATCAATATATGTTAATAGTACACTAAAAAATTACCTGATGAGAAAATTTTTGTTGGGAAGGGGAAACAACCTTTGGAAATTTTTGCAAAAATATTTTTCCCAAGAAAGTCGGTTTTTTCACAAAACGCAAAGTCTTTAACGACAAAAAACTGACCGATTGGACAAGCAATTTTACTTGGCTCGGCACAAAACTGGAAGAAATAAATTAGTCAAAATTTCTAAAATATACTAACCTCCAGTGCAGTGTGGCTCGCTTGTAATTTTTTAAAACTTATAAGCTTATGTTGTTGTTCAAAATTTGGTTTCTTGTAAAAGAGCCGGGTAATTTGCTGACAAAAAAATGCCGATTTTCGTCTTCCGAGTGTCTCAAAAACCCTCTCCTATCTGGGCACCGGTGTAAAATGGCTGTGGTTATTCAGTTATTTAGCGGTTTAAATAGCTATATATAAGGATAACATGAAGAAAAGTAAACCGTCGTTGTCTTTTTGAGTGTCGTCTCTAGAGTTTAGTTTTTACTGTTTTGAGGAAACGCAAATGCAGACGCGTCGTCGGCTGGCCGTCGGAAAAGCATATCGTGAAACGTCCGGAACACTTTCTCCTTTTACCATGCGAATGCTTGACGAAAGATTATTGATCCTCTTGATATTTTTCCGAGACTTACACGGCTGACCTGACGGCTGACATCGTCGCTGACATCTCACTTTATATAAGGGACTTTCTAGGAATTGATTGAAAGTAGTTTGTGAAAATATTAAAAATCAAGCTGCTTTGCTGATACAGTATTTACCAAGGAAGCTCGAAGATTAATTTCTTAATTGACGGTTAAGTCGAAATGCGATATATAGCAGAGCAAGAAGCACTGAATATTTGAGGCATAACGATCAAGTGGTCACGATTACGATATTTAAAAATTTATTTAATTTAAAGCATGAAATTAATGTTCGTTATTTTAAAGAAAACAACCCGGTAAGTGTTATTATTTGGTTTCTACTCAACGTATCGTGTAGTTGTTCAGTCGTGAATAGACAACACGTGGAATGAATGAAATTGTGCAACGTTTATGTGTGTGTTATGGTTTTGTCATGTTTTCTTAGTTGGGCATATATAAGCTAAGAGCTGCTTCTTATTGTTATGTATGTAGTTAACAGATCGTAGATAAAAGATATAAAATATTTTCAATATATTGTTTACATAATATACATTTAAATATATTGTTACATAATATATATTTAAATTGATTGTTACATAAGCTTAACTTATTAAATTGCTAATTCTAATGAAAGGACTTGATTCCTATATCACCTACTTATTATTAATTATCATATCTTGCTGCATATTATATTATTTAACCATTCAATCCTGAAAATCACAATTTACACAATCAATAACACTTATTTGAGTCCATAAAATCCCTACTTGTCAATGAATTGTTCCTTATGTGGCTGTGAAATGACACTTACAAAACAAAGACATTGAAAAGAAAGAATAAACAAATGGACAAACAAAAAGGAAGAGAAGAAACTACTCATTTTATGGAACACTGGACAAACATTTTCTTGGAGTTTTGATATTTTGGAATCTCTTGTTAACACAAGTGTAGTGACAAATGAACTAAAGTGTCTCATTTTGTATGAAAATGTTATCTGTTTTCATTCTATGTGTGGACTGGAATGTATCACATTGCTAATTATGTTTTAAATTTTTATATGCATCTTATTTAATGACTCGTCTTTACTACCTACAGGTATATTAATCTCTGAAAGCTTAGGAAAACAAAATAATAGCTAAATTATTGAGACAAGAATGGCTGAGGATCAACAAGAAATAGTAGATGGAGATGTCTCCAATCACCTCATAGTGCTGGCAGTGCAGAGATACTACCCAAGTGAAGATGAAGAACCTGAAGAAGTTGATAAAACTGCACCACAGTTGTCTGCGCAAATGATCCTTGAAAAAGGGAAGAGATACCATGTGCTTGGGCCAGTACAATGGTGGTTATATGTGAAGTGTATGGATACAGAGGAGTGTGGATATGTGCCAAGTATGCATGTGGTACCCCTCAAGAAAAATCTTTCCATTCAAGAGTACGTATTTAAATGAAACCATTGAAATGTATTTTAAATACATTCTGGCACTTATTCCAAGTGGCTTATAAAACTCTTGAGTCTCATTGACTGCTCAGTTTGGTTAAGTTGAACAATGACTACTATGTGTTATTCCAGTTATGAAACATTTGATTGAAAACTAATAAACATACCACACATTTGGCATAAGAGACGAGAAACCACTGCTAGTGAAATTATCTCTGTCGCAACAAAAATTCAAATTTATCAGACAAAACAATTTCAGTGGTACAGATGTTGTTGAGACAATTTTTGTGACATTTTGTTGAATAGGTTTTTTTCTTTTTCTTGTGATTTAGGCAAAGGGATATTGATAATGGAGCTGGGATTGCTCCCTCAATGGTGCAACGAGAGGATATTGACATGAAATTTTTCCCTGCTTCACCAGTAGAAAGAGACATTGCAAACAGGGTTGGTTAATCCTATAAACACTCACAAATATCTTGCCTTATGAATATGCTACATGCCAGATAGATTCAGTCTAGATTCTGTTATCCTGGGTTCCATAGGATCTCTTAGTCCAGTGTTTCATGGTTGTAGGATTTGTGGTCCAGAGGTTCTCACATGATACAAAACCATACCTATGACTGACAAGCACTGGAATAAAAGAGCCTTGAGAACAAATAGTAAATTTTATGCTCCAAGTTGAAAATAACAGGATTTTTGAATAAGAGAAATCTTACATACAATATTATGTTTTTTTAAAAATCTTCTATAGAAATTATGTCCTGAAGAAAATGCCAACATTCTTTCAAAAATTACATTCTGGTGGCTTACACGGTGAGTTAGGATTTATACACAATTAATGTTGTGAAATGTAGGTTTAAATATATCAGATACCATGTGTATTGCAGTATTAATAGACTTTAGTATTTGAAATTTCTTCGTCTCTCTTATGCAATAAATGGGTGAATTTTAATTTACTTATTTTCTATATGTAAATAGACCTCTTTACCTTGTTTTCCTATATTAGATCCCATTTCATGCCATTTTCTTGAGAATAAGATTCTTTGAATGGTATCCATTGATTCATGTGTCTTTTCATTTATAACTGTTAAACAAAAAAAAAATGATACTCTAGGGAATAATGCATGGTCAAGTCTGAAATAGCTGTAGGCCAACTTTCAGCCAACAATGTTGTCAACCAACATGTGTCAGCTACCCCTACCCCAGGAAATTCCAATTTTCTTCCTTACAAACTCAGTAATTTTGTTCTTTCTCTGAACCCCACTCCCCCACCCCCTACCCCTCAAAAATTCCATGTTCTTCAGTGGGGTGGGAGGGGGGGGAATGGATAATTTCTGGAACTTTACATTACTTGTTTATTTGCAGACTGATTTATAAAGGCTTTAAAAAACCACTAGAAGACAAGGACCTATGGGCTTTGGCAGAAAGAAATAGATCTTCAAACATTGTTCCAAAGATTTCTTCTAAATGGGAACATCTTCAGGATAAATACAAGAAAAAGCATCCACAAAAGTCAATATCAGAGATGTGAGTAATTGCACTGTATATGGCAATGTGGGATTTGGGTCTCTGTCAATCAAAATCCACTAACTTTAACCAATGAAAAGTGCTCTGATTTATGAGTGAATAAATTCTAATCCTAGTGACAACAATGAAGAACCAAACCAGACGCTAAAAGATATTCAGGTCAATGGGCAGCAAGACAAAGATCAAGAAACTGTAGAGTTTGTTCCCAAGAAAGAGAAAAAAAAGACGAAATACAAAGGACCTTCTATTGCTAAAGCCTTGTTTCTGATGTTGTGGAGGAAATTTCTTTTAGCTGTTTTCTTTAAGTTGATTCATGATGTTGCTATATTTATACAACCTCAGATGTTAGAGTAAGTGATTAATAGGTTATTTCAAGTTTAAGAAGATATTATCATTATCATTATCATTATCATTATCATTATCATTATCATTATCATTATCATTACCACTACCACTGCCACTACCACTACCATTATCATTATCAAACCTCCTAATAAGATCCTAATTCCAGTCAATATATCTGTTCTGGATAAGCCAATCTAATAAGAATATCTTGTATATTATATTACAAGTAAGCATTCATATTTACTGACCAGTATTGCATCATCTTTCGTAACAGATTGCTTATCGTATATACCGAAAAAAAGTCTGATAGATGGAAGGGATATGCATACTGTGTGACCATGTTTGGGGTAGCTGTGGTTCAATCCTTTGCCCTTCATCAGTACTTCCATATAGTGATAACACTGGGGATGAATATAAGAACATCAATTATTGGAATGGTGTATCCCAAGGTAGGATTTAACAGTTTATTCACCTATTTCAAAAAATGTGCGCTGTTTGGAGAAGTCTGAAATCTAAGACTAAGTAACTCTGTTTCAGTAACACACTTCAAATGTTATTATATTCATAGCCAAAAAACATAGTTTCCTTTTAGATTGAAATATGAGGACGGCCTTTGATTTAGAAATGTGATTTTTTGTTATTTTTAGCCAGAAAAGATAAAAGCACAAAAATCTTAGATTGTCCATTTGAGATCTCGGACCAACATYGTTTTTTTGAAATACTTGTATATTATAAAGTCTTACATATTTTGTGTACTTAGGTAGTTGTACACTATTAAGTGCTACCAACAACAACAGCAACAACAATGACGACAACTTTATTTGAACTCTTAATGTATAATAACATAAGTATAAATATAAGAAAACAAAGTCTTTACTTACTTGCTCAGGCTCTAAGGCTTAATAATGAAGCAAGGAAGACATCAACAGCTGGAGAAATGGTGAATCTAATGACAACAGATGCCCAGCGTCTCATGGAGCTGATGAATTATGTGAACACTCTCTGGTCTGGACCCTTTCAGATCCTTGTAGCTTTGTACTTCTTGTACAACACAATGGGTGTGTCTACACTGGCTGGTGTTGGCGTCATGATTTTACTCATTCCACTTAATTTACTGGTCTCCAGGGTTATTAAGAAACTACAGGTGGGTCGGTGTTTGAATGGATGAAATAAAGAAATACATGAGATAAAGTAACCGAATGAATGAATCAATCAATGATTGAATGAATCAATGGTTGAACAAATGAATGAACAAACCAATGAACAAACGAACAAACAAAGGAACGGACAAAAAAAATGAACAAACAAATGAGTGAGTATATTGGTAGTTCTCTAAGTGAGTGATTGACTGACTGACTAAATGAAAGAGTGAATTAATGAAGGAATGAATAAATGGGCAAATAGATAAATTGGAAAGGAAGAAGCAGATGAACAACTTTTTTTTCATTTTTTTCAGGTTAAAACTATGACATCTAAAGATAAGCGTCTAAAGATGATAAACGAGATTCTCAATGGGATTAAGGTACATTCTACGTTCATGTAGATTCTCAAATTTGTTATAGAGGCTTTGCACCATCAAATGATGGCAGCCATGACAAGAGGCACAACAACAATATTTTTTTCTTATGGGAAACTGAATTCTTTCACATATAAATCAGATKAGACCGGATTCAATTGTTCCTGCCTCCTGTCATAGCTGCCATCATTTGATGGTGCAAAGCTTCTATTCAGGCTGAATTGCACATAAAGATTTTCTTTGAAATCGTGTTGTATCAACCAATAATATATTATACCACCATATTGCCATTCTTCAAGCATAGAATACTCCATTCCTCGCCATGTTTATGCTATCAATAGGTTCTCAAGCTTTATGCATGGGAGACCTCTTACCTCCAAAAAGTCTTTGAAGTACGAAAAGAAGAACTGAAACACCAGAAAAACTCCATGTATGTTCATGCTGGCTTTTCTTTCACCTACACCTGTGCTCCATTCCTGGTAAGTTTCGCTTAAAGTAACTCTCAAACTTATAACAGTGTCATTAATTTTTATAGAAATCTTTCAAATTTCGAACGCAGATCAAAGTCAGGGCATGGCTAACTCACAGATCAAATTTTGAGAACCTTGGAAAAACCCTTGGAATCAAAGGAGATAATTAATTCAAAAATAAAGAAATAAATACTGATAGATACTTTAATTGTTATGTGTCAATTATTTTAGGTTTCCTTGGCAACGTTTGCAATCTACGTGCTTACTGGTAACATATTGACTGCTGAAAAAGCCTTCGTAGCCATTGCATTGTTTAACATCCTGCGTTTTCCCCTTGTTATGTTCCCGAATATCATAATGAACTTAATCCAGGTGAGTCTCATTGCTAAGAATTATGTATCAGTCAAAGTAAACCCCGACCCCCCACCTTGGGATATACATGGGGATTAGTATTGAATAGCGAACTAAAACTGACAAATTCCCAAACATCGGGGGGTACTCCGCAAGGATTCGGGTAGGGGTGTTCCGCTGGGATTCTGAAAGGGGTACCCTGTTTATGACAAAAAAACTCAAAATTGTAGACCCTGTTTATGACAAAAGATATAATTAATTGCACTGAGTTCCTGTTTCAATTATCATGTCAGCTCGCATATTGTTTTTTTTTTGACGACCATAATAACCAGTTTCGGTCAATACGAAAATAGAAACCCTGAATATGACAGGAAACTCGGGAAGAACTTGGAATTTGAGTGAAATTGCATACCCTGTTTATGACAAGAAGCTCGAAAAACCATATCCTGTTCAGCGGATCATCCCCGTATAGTCCATATATGGGAGTACCCCCCCCTGGGCCAAACATATGGGGAAAAATTTTGCGTTAAATGGCAAAAAAAGACCCACCCCCTGGGACAACTAAAATTGGCTTCTCAACATATTTTTATAAATAAACTGTTTTGCAGGCCCGAGTATCTATACAGAGACTACAAGAATTTCTGAACCTAGAAGAACTTGATCCGGATAATGTATCAAAAATAATGCCTGAACATCGTAAGTAAAAAAGCTGCTCGTTTACTTTTTTGGTGCAGGAGTAGTGCACTCGTTTCTCCCCTGTGAGGTCTTATGATTGATTCCTGTACTTAGCATCCCATGAGTAGAGTTTACTGGATCTCTCCCTTGATTCAAGGGTTTCACTCCCGGTTCTCCGGTTTTCCTTCTTCCCCAAAACCTGACACGCTAAATTCAAAATCGATCTGTGAGTTAGCCATGCGTCTGATTTGGATCAGCCCAGGAGGGATTTGAGGATTTTATAATTGACTGCATTAGAAGCTCATTATTGTATTGTCACAAAGTCGATTTTCAGTTTCTTTATTCTTTTTTTTTTTCAGTCTCAAACCAAGCCATTCATGTGGAAAACTGCACCGTTAAGTGGGACAAGAAAGACGCTCCGATTTTGAATGAGTATGATCTCAATTTTTTTATATCTCAGGGCTTTTAAGCCCAAAATTGAGAATAGTCATTTGAGAGTTGATTTCATCATCATCGTCATCATCACCATCAAGGGGAGGCAGCATGGTCGAGTGGCCATAGCGTCGGTCTCACAATCCGGTGATGCCGGGTTCGAGTACCCACTGTGGCCACTAGCTGAGACTGTATTTGTCCTGATTCCTCATTAGTTCAGATTCAGTTTCTCGGCCATGCTTGTAAATAGCCAACTGGTCTGCCTCCTTGCCAGTTGGGATTCTTAACACACTACTTTATGTAGTTTTTTCTTTACACAGTCTTTATGTTTCTTTGATCATTTCATTTCAGTTTATTAATTGTAGGAGGGCCATATTACATATTAAATATTACTATTTCAGCGTCAATCTAAACATAACGACTGGTTCACTGGTAGCAGTAGTGGGACAAGTAGGAAGTGGTAAATCTACGTTACTG